TGCCATAGTGCTTGGCGGTCCACAGAGTCAAAGGCAGCTTTCAGATCAAGAAAAACAACCATTGTTGGTTGCTGGAAGCAGTGTCGCTGTTCCAGAATCTGTTGGAGGGTGAAGATATGGTCGATGCAACCTCATGCAGGACACCCCCACCCAGTATAGCTCAATGGATCGCTGAGGTGCGCAAACCGTCAGTCACACCGCAGTAAGGTCCTGTCTCTTCGTGTGCAGCTACACTACGGGAATGGATCGCTGAGGTGCGCAAACCGTCAGTCACACCGCAGTAAGGTCCTGTCTCTTCGTGTGCAGCAAGCTACACTACGGGCTGTTTTGTTGTAGGGCTGTGAGACTTTGCCTATTCGAGCAACGGAACTGAGAAGTCTTCAGGTGTTCGCCACCGTTGTCTCAGAACTATAGCTCGTGTGCGTTGGTGTCGGCGAATCCGTAATGAGACGACTAGGAAGCGCGTTTTCGGTTGTGCAACGGGTACGTCCATTGGAGAATGTGTATAGCACCAGAGGCTGCGCTGGTTAGGACGTGTTACGTATGCCGAACCACCATTTGCTGAAAAGAGCGCTGTTTTCCATGCCCAATTCAGAGTGGCGTAAGCAGAGAGGTAGCCAACTCTTGACTAGGCAGAGGAAGCTTTCAAAAGCCATGATCATGGCATCTTTCACATTTTCTAGATATTATTCAAATTATCACTATTACTATTATGTCCGTGAATTTCTGGAGGACTTTCATCCGAAGTTGTAACACCTTGTAGGCGCCTAGTTACCATGCCGCCCGGGGGAAGCACGAGGACCAAGAGGCTGCCAGGCTATCAAACTCTAAACAGGAACAGTTGAGATGTTGGGGTTGGGCTCGAACCAAGGACCTTCTGACCAGAAACCTCGCACTCTAAGCACTCAGCCATCACGAGCTCAGTCAACTAAACTCGATATTGGTGGGTTACAGAGACACCTTGCAGACGATGAATTGAATGACCTTGGGACAACCATCATGTTCCGGATGGAAAGTGAATCAGCACCCACAATAATGTGATCAAAGTCAAGTGGTGCACATCAAAATGAACGACGATCTTGTAACGAAGCTCCCCACTCGTAGCCGACTGGTGTTTAACTGTAACACCCTTTAAGTGCCTAGCTACCAAGCCACCCGAAGAAAGCTCCAGGGCTGGGATAACGCTAGGTTACCCAAGCCTAGACATGAGAATTGGAAATGCAGAGGCCCGGCTCGAACCACCGACCCTCCTGTCAGTAAATTTTCGCTCTTACCACGGAGTTATCTCGCTCCCTGGTGCATGGTCCAAATAAGTACGCGGCCGGTTTGCAGTTAGTGGTGTAAGCGTCTATGCTCAAATTATGTGCAGGCTAAAAACATATGATATTCACATTATCTGCATGGTGAGCGCTAACTCCGAATCAGCTGCCAGTACGGGTTCCCCTCAACTCGAACATTCATACTGCCTGTCAGAATAATTATACTGTACTTCTCGCTGACCGAAGCAACTGACGAATTTTAACAGAATCTGTGTGACAACAAACAAACACGGTTTACCAAGTCGAGATACACTGATCTCAATTAAGCTAGTCAACCGAACAGCCAAAGGATGACTATTCACTGGAATCCAGACACACTTAGCCTTGGAACAAAGCACAACTCTCACGCTATGGATACCACGAGCCACTTTTTCACCAGACAACCGACGAGTAAAGTGTGATAAGACTTCATTTGTCCCGAGCAGTTTGGGGCGTATGACTGAATTAGGGTATTGTATGTGTGTTTCGGAGACGTGTCGATTGAAGCAGAGAACAAGGTTTGAGCAAGAGATACTTGTCGCTCACTTTGTCACAGTGCGCGAACGTTGAAAGCAACAATGTAGAACAGATCCCTTGAGTTTATTAGTGGTTTATATTTATTTTACCAGGCAGAAGTTTGGATACCGCGCAACCATCATGGGGTTTAACAGTTGAATCAGAGAGACGCGTCAGGAAAGGTCGGTAAGGGCGAACGAGTGCCCGACGACCCAGTTCAGGGAGGAGGATTTGGCTGAGATACACCACTTTGAGCCTCCGACTCAAGAGCCTGGCAAACAAGGCAGTGGAGGGGATTGTCTCCTAGCCTTTGACTCAAAAGTCCGAATTGCAAGGTAGCCGCTGCTTGAATTTCCTTAGAGGACTCTTCCCGGAGCCAATGATTCAATAATCTGATCCAAATGGCTACAAAGGGCTGGTCTGGATTGATGGTGCTACAGTTGCTTGAGTTTAAGGATTGCCACACACAGAAGGTGCGTCCGGTGCCCCATCGGGTTCACAAGCTTTTCTCGATCGTATTGGATGATTTTCCGGCGGTCACCGTCAACAGCAGAGGGATCAGTGTGTGAAATTTTGGACCGAACTTTTCTAGCCCATTCCTGGGGGAAGGCAGCATCGTAGCTTCCATAGGTATGGACTTGGTTGTAGGCCGAAGGAAACACCTTAGTGTCTTCAAACTCTGAGAACGGTAAGACTTCTCCTCAAGGACAGCTTCCATTAGGATAATATACAACTCATTTCACCGGAAGCGAATGCTCCAATATTCAACACCGCTGATTGACATGTACTAGCGCAACAAAAAGAGAGTTCAAAATAATCGCACCAGACAGCATTGACGTAAGTATCCATTAGCATTCATCCAAATTCAAACAAGAAGCACCAAACGGAACAAGTTATGACAAAAGCGTATCTCTATATCTCAAGTAAAACGACTGTAATCATGTGGAACCCAATAATTTTTGAGTCACAGAGCCTTGTCTGATTATTTAGCTTTATTGTCTTCAGTGGACATTGTGACAGGGGAACGTTCCCATGAATGATGCAGTTGGCCCATGTGGCAACGCAGGCAAGCCATAAGATGGAAGTCGCCTCACTGCGAAATGAAGCAGCTGCACACCAGATGGTAGTTCACGAGATCCAGCCATCTACGTTCGTCATACGACAATAATATTACGGGAGGGGGACAGACCCTGCTGTCAGGAGACCTTGGAATGTCAAACCATGATTAGGCTCCTTGGAAGAGAATGCTTCTTATAAACCTGCTGAAAACATTTCGACAGGTTTCGCGTTGCTTCAGAGTTATCAGGCAGGCACAGTCACCGAGTTTCCTCACAAATATGTTCCACCTGTACACTCAGTTGCGTTTTTCTTTTGGTTTTAACGGGAGACAACTACCCATAAGCCCAATCCCCCGTTTACGATATTCTTCAAGAGAATATAACACGATATGGTGCCAAGTGAAACACGAGGCAGCATTGTACAAGTTGGGGAAGAACACAAGATATTCAGCCGAATACAGTTGACCGTCCAGTTAAGCCAAAAGTCGTGCGCAAATGAATGTATTTTACGATTAAGTTTCGTTTACCGATTCGTTCTTCTGAGTCTGGACGAAAAAACATGGAACTATCCAAGGTGATGCACCGCACAAGACAGATAGATCGGACGACGGCATGAGCTGTCCAACATGGTCACTGATGTTCTGGGCAGATGATTATGGCTTGTGCAACTAATAACCCTGTATGCTTTCGTTTAGACGACTCGCTGCGTGGGAGCCTATGACTGGCTGTCGGCTCTTGCCTTGATATGTTATACCCATGTAATTTCATTGATGAACACGCAAGAGATACATGTTCCCTTTTATTGCTCTTGTCATACCTACAGTAATGTTTCATCAGGATCACACGACAGTCACACGTCAGCATTCACTACTGATTATTTTGGTCATGGTGGGTACAAAATTTGATGGGACATCTAAAGGGCGCGAACAGGTGAAACAGCGCCTACCAGTTCGTCTTCCTCTGGTGTTGCTGAGACGGTCGCCGTAAGACGACGTCGTTTCGCCGGACTCTTTTGAAAATCTTCTACCTCAGAAGAAGTGCTGGCATGTGGGTCATCAGAAAACTGATCGGACGAGTCTGGAGAAGTGGCGCGTCGCTTGACACCTGGTGTAAGCTGCGATGAAGAACAAAACACAAAAATGTGTTGTGGTTTAGGATTAGCGGAACTGGGACCTCCGATAATCTGAGGTTGGATCACAGAAATGAGCAGTCAACACATTTTCTTCGTTTTGGAAAGTACATAATGGGATGCAATATGGAACCAACACCTCTGAAGAAAAAGGCTGGCTGAAAACAGCATTCCTTAGAGAAACGGACACCATAAAGAGTACTGAGACCTATCACTTGTTTATGAATCAGATAATATACTCATACGAAACACGTAATAATAACACAACAGCTAAACCATCTTAAGTTTTTGAAAAAGGGCACCGTAGTTGTTGACCCGGAGACCAGGTTTAACTAGCTGATGTGACCAGGAATATAGCAACTCGTACCACAGGACCCATAGAAGTAAATTCATCCTTTAAAGTCCAATGAAATGCTCCCAAGAAATCCTACCATGTAGTTCTACCTGAGGGAGCCCTGTTTACTGTCATCCGATGATAAATGTATTCTCACCAAGGACGAAGAGTGAAATATGACACCCGAAGCTATAACCCAGTTCCAGGTTGGTGGTTCATTAGTTAGCCGCCTGGGGCAACCAGTTAGGCCGTGATTCTAAACGAATAACAGCGAGAATATGAATCAGCTCCAGGGAGTTAGACGCAGGACATCACCTCTGGAATCCAACAGGTATAATGGAGCTGCTGCTCAGCAATTAACTGCAGGTGTACTGCCACCCTATAGATCGTAATCGACTGTACAAATGCAGACTCGAACACATGCCAAGTTATGCTGTTGCACCGAATTCTTCAAAAAATGCAGGAACATTTTCACGCGACTGCATTGTCCTTCCACAGGAATTTATCAAATTACAGTAAAAGCCGAGTGGTAAGCACCGCCTAGTCCGATCTTTCGGTCATCCAAAGGACATGCCCACCTCAGATTAAAGTGAAATCTACGCACTTGACTGATGTGATCCAGCAATCGTCAAGGATCATTGTCACTGAGACTCAAGAAGACGATTACTTCAGCATACTCAAAGTCAATGACAGATATCCAAAGTGAATTAAACATCCTAACGCTTTTCTGTCACCCGGGGGAGCAAATGCCCGAGGAGCACAGAACACATGAGACAGCTTTAACGCACAGCTCTACCCATAGGTCCTATTTACAGACCCGGACAATATCGCAATTTCTACAAACCCTGGTAAAGAAAACAAAACATATGCTGTGTTTATCCTCAATCAGCATGAAACCCAACAAAACGGACGTTGAAATACATTGCGATGCTCAAACAGAGCGAGGAGTTAATAGAAGATTTAGACTTTCCATTTGGAAGTGACTTTGGCGGTAAATTCATCCTCAGTAAGACGGTGGTAATCAAAAGTAGGAAAGTTGTGTCACGAGTCAGAAATACTGCTTTCACTAGTGCCGTCCTACACCTCTACTATGCCCTAGTTAGTATCGAAAGAGTGAAACGGAAAACAACAGAATGAATCAGGATGCGTTTAACACCGAAGTCTGGCGTACCTTTCCTTGTGCATCTATTTCTGGTAAGGCGATCCGTTCCTCCTGCTCCGATAGGGTGGTCCCTTGCGACACAGGGATCGTGGGATCAAATGAAGCACTCATGTCAGATGTATTGCTAAGTGCAGTGGATAAGGAAGTGGGTGGAGATGAAGAGATTTCAGCACCAACGTTCTGCACGAAAGCTTCCAATTGTCCAATTGGTCTGAGAATGTGAACGATCGGTGGAACGCCTTCCCCGGCTACTACAGACTAAAGTGGAGTAAGTATGTGATGATGTTGGAATTCTTGTATAGCGAAGCATTTGCCGAATAACAAAGGTTACCAACTGAACCTATTAACGAGAAACAAAGGGGTTTCAAAAGATATAAAGATATGTATGATTATGGTCTACCTAAGTATATGCACATACTAATCCCGGTCAGCTAACAAGCTCATGCAAATCCGGTCGGCATGTCTCTAAGGTCGAACTTCCACAAGTCAAACTCTGTCAAGAGTGAAGGATTTTTAACCGGACGCTTACAACTCCATTTGCACATAAAAATCAAGTGGAAAGACAATGGTGTGAAGAATTAGGAAGATGTACCTCCAAAAAGACTACTGAGCATTAAATCAGGATTTAACACGTAGATTCTATGAAATTCAGATAAGCTGCCGTTCTGGGAAGCCTACAAGAACAAAGGGGAACTTTGGATACAAAGTGTGACGAAACCCGATATACAGGATGGGAAATTTCTCAAGTGCGTGGCTTAAACAAGATAACCTATCTATTTTTCCGGAATGCCAGTACCTCGGTAGAAATGCAGTACAGCAAAAAGCTCAACGGAGTCAAAAGGCGTGGAAAGTAGGTTTGGTAAGGCAGACTATATGCAATAAACTGGTGAATATGGTTAAAAGAGGCAGAAAAGCATAAGCTTTAACAGCGCAAAAAAACCTCAAAATAACTTGGATGTGAACAGGCATGCTAAGGATATTGAATAGAACCACGCCTATATCTATAGTCCATCACCATCATTACATTCGGCAGCATAACATCAGTGTTCAAAGCTGACAAGTTCTACCTGAGGGAGCCCTGTTTACTGTCATCCGATGATAAATGTATTCTCACCAAGGACGAAGAGTGAAATATGACACCCGAAGCTATAACCCAGTTCCAGGTTGGTGGTTCATTAGTTAGCCGCCTGGGGCAACCAGTTAGGCCGTGATTCTAAACGAATAACAGCGAGAATATGAATCAGCTCCAGGGAGTTAGACGCAGGACATCACCTCTGGAATCCAACAGGTATAATGGAGCTGCTGCTCAGCAATTAACTGCAGGTGTACTGCCACCCTATAGATCGTAATCGACTGTACAAATGCAGACTCGAACACATGCCAAGTTATGCTGTTGCACCGAATTCTTCAAAAAATGCAGGAACATTTTCACGCGACTGCATTGTCCTTCCACAGGAATTTATCAAATTACAGTAAAAGCCGAGTGGTAAGCACCGCCTAGTCCGATCTTTCGGTCATCCAAAGGACATGCCCACCTCAGATTAAAGTGAAATCTACGCACTTGACTGATGTGATCCAGCAATCGTCAAGGATCATTGTCACTGAGACTCAAGAAGACGATTACTTCAGCATACTCAAAGTCAATGACAGATATCCAAAGTGAATTAAACATCCTAACGCTTTTCTGTCACCCGGGGGAGCAAATGCCCGAGGAGCACAGAACACATGAGACAGCTTTAACGCACAGCTCTACCCATAGGTCCTATTTACAGACCCGGACAATATCGCAATTTCTACAAACCCTGGTAAAGAAAACAAAACATATGCTGTGTTTATCCTCAATCAGCATGAAACCCAACAAAACGGACGTTGAAATACATTGCGATGCTCAAACAGAGCGAGGAGTTAATAGAAGATTTAGACTTTCCATTTGGAAGTGACTTTGGCGGTAAATTCATCCTCAGTAAGACGGTGGTAATCAAAAGTAGGAAAGTTGTGTCACGAGTCAGAAATACTGCTTTCACTAGTGCCGTCCTACACCTCTACTATGCCCTAGTTAGTATCGAAAGAGTGAAACGGAAAACAACAGAATGAATCAGGATGCGTTTAACACCGAAGTCTGGCGTACCTTTCCTTGTGCATCTATTTCTGGTAAGGCGATCCGTTCCTCCTGCTCCGATAGGGTGGTCCCTTGCGACACAGGGATCGTGGGATCAAATGAAGCACTCATGTCAGATGTATTGCTAAGTGCAGTGGATAAGGAAGTGGGTGGAGATGAAGAGATTTCAGCACCAACGTTCTGCACGAAAGCTTCCAATTGTCCAATTGGTCTGAGAATGTGAACGATCGGTGGAACGCCTTCCCCGGCTACTACAGACTAAAGTGGAGTAAGTATGTGATGATGTTGGAATTCTTGTATAGCGAAGCATTTGCCGAATAACAAAGGTTACCAACTGAACCTATTAACGAGAAACAAAGGGGTTTCAAAAGATATAAAGATATGTATGATTATGGTCTACCTAAGTATATGCACATACTAATCCCGGTCAGCTAACAAGCTCATGCAAATCCGGTCGGCATGTCTCTAAGGTCGAACTTCCACAAGTCAAACTCTGTCAAGAGTGAAGGATTTTTAACCGGACGCTTACAACTCCATTTGCACATAAAAATCAAGTGGAAAGACAATGGTGTGAAGAATTAGGAAGATGTACCTCCAAAAAGACTACTGAGCATTAAATCAGGATTTAACACGTAGATTCTATGAAATTCAGATAAGCTGCCGTTCTGGGAAGCCTACAAGAACAAAGGGGAACTTTGGATACAAAGTGTGACGAAACCCGATATACAGGATGGGAAATTTCTCAAGTGCGTGGCTTAAACAAGATAACCTATCTATTTTTCCGGAATGCCAGTACCTCGGTAGAAATGCAGTACAGCAAAAAGCTCAACGGAGTCAAAAGGCGTGGAAAGTAGGTTTGGTAAGGCAGACTATATGCAATAAACTGGTGAATATGGTTAAAAGAGGCAGAAAAGCATAAGCTTTAACAGCGCAAAAAAACCTCAAAATAACTTGGATGTGAACAGGCATGCTAAGGATATTGAATAGAACCACGCCTATATCTATAGTCCATCACCATCATTACATTCGGCAGCATAACATCAGTGTTCAAAGCTGACACTTGACTGCCGTACAACCATGATTTATTTGAAAGCACTATTTTATATATATTTTATATTATATATATATATTATATTTTTTATATAAAAGAAAAGTGGACGGTGAAGGGACGTAGTTCCTGCCACAAACAATCAGTCTAATCATGCCAACACCTCCCTGGCCCAAATCCACTACTTTGACGTGGTAGTCGCACTTCAGTGCTGCAATCCCTGAGTTAATATAAAAGAAAAGTGGACGGTGAAGGGACGTAGTTCCTGCCTACCACAATCAGTCTAATCATGCCAACACCTCCCTGGCCCAAATCCACTACTTTGACGTGGTAGTCGCACTTCAGTGCTGCAATGATCCCCTGAGTTACGTTGGTTGCAACTTCCTTCCACAAGGCGAAACCATACCAGGATGGTCAATCAAAAGCAGTGAGACTCCATACTACCAATAATCGTGCTACGAGGGGTCTGTGATAGCAATGTGAGGATTAAGAAACTCCAAATTCATGGGAGTAGCGATGTTGCTTTCTCTCGAGGAAGGACGCGTAACAAAAGGACCCAATCTACGATCGCCCAACGGTAGACCATGACCTCCGGTGCTTTACTCATACGGTCGAAAATACTTGTCGGTCATGATTTCGAGTCAGAGACTAGGGGCAGGGTCCCCGAATGAAAACTTACATCCTCACACTGCGTTGTGCTTCAGACTTTTGAGTCAAAAGCTTAAGGCGGAGTACCTCAATCAAACCCCCTTCCTCTGCCAGAGCAACAGAGAAGTATCAGTTGCCCGCACATTTCTGTTTGTCGACATCACTCTCCAACCCCTTCGCGCCACACAAGCAAACGTTGATGGATCATTCGACTGTCAGTTATCCGATCGATGTGCCTCAAGCACCCCACCGCATATTAGCAATAAACAAAACAACACCCTGCTCAACCCACGATAACCTTTCTACATAGGATCTTTTCATTTCCGTACTCCATTTAAACTGGCAAAGAAACGGTGCTCGCTGAAACATAATACTACCTTAAAATTGATGTATGCTGTCTCCGAAACACGCATACAAGATACAACCGTAGTTATGCATCTCAAAACGCCAAGGACGAACTCAGCTCTTTCATATTTCTCCCTACGTGTGTCCGGTGACTCAGAGGCGATATATGGTGGAGTTGCACTCACCCCCAGAGTTGAACGCGCTTTGCTTGATCGGATCCCAATGAATAGTTGTCTTCGTGTGACCTGGCGGTCACCAACTGCAACTAAACGGTGGACCAAGTTGGACTACGGGACTACCATCCACCGGTGGAGAGCCACAATTCAAGTCTGCTGATCACACTGTGGTGCATGCACTCCTGGCAATTAATTCTCCCATCGATCCATCTCAAGTCAGCATACCGATCCACCTCCTCATGCAACAAAGCCTCTGGAGATAGTATACACGAGCGAATAAAATGTAAAACCTAATCCCCGCCAGAAGAAATAAAATACGAAATATCCACACTGAAACTTGAGGAGGCACGAGGGCCGGACGGTCTGTATCCAGCATTGTTCCAGGAAGGCAGAAAATCATTGGTGACCCATATAACACAGCTCAATGGTGCGATATGGAGTGGAGGGAAAGTGCCTGGTAGCCGTGATCTTATGTCTCGAAGGTTGACTGAACGCAGGGAGCGACATATTGACGAAAACCAAGCTGGGTTCTCTTCTGCAAGGAAATGCATCGACCAAATTTTCACCATCAAACAGATTCTGGAATAGCGACACTCTTTACAGCTACTTCTTGGTCGCCTTTAATTCTATGCACCGTCGGGCACTATGGCGGTGTCTGTGGAGCAAACGTGTCTACCATAAATTCTGGACCCTCCTTAAGGCACTGTATGCCAACTCCCACGGCCGTGTGAAGGTCTACGGGAATCTGTCGCCTGAGTTCACCAGTTCAGATAGGGCTGTCTTCTTTCACTTTTCCTCCTCAACTTCGTCACTGGGGCGATCATGGAAGACTCACTATCAGCCTCCGATGCCTGTGGCGTCGAATTGCTCCCTGGACGTCCACTCAGGTATCCAGTATGCAGACGACATAGCTCTTCCTGGGAATGCAAACAATATTAAATGATCTAAATAATTCTGCCTCGCGGTTCGGCAGTGTGGTCCATGGAAAGTCTTCGCCTGAGTTCACTAAATCAACTGGTGTCGGGCAAGGTTGTACTCTTCAACGTCGTTATTGACAGTATTCTGAAAGACTAACACGGTGAATCTAATACATGTGGGGTCGAAATGCTCCGAGAACATTCGCTCACAGATATCAGGTACATAGATGATAAAGCTCTCCTTAGATGTGACATTAAATAATCTAAATAATTCTGCCCATGGTTTAGGAAAGTGTGAAGTGCCGCTGCACGGCTGAGTGGGCTCAAACCCTAAACGCACGTTTGCGAATGGGCCGACTGACATAGAAGACGAATAGGTCCAGGTGGTCTCGCGAAAGACGACATTTCCGTCCGGATTGGGAAGGCCAGAGCAGCTTTTGCAACGTATCATCATCTGTGGCAGGTACGTGACATCAGCCCATCCGTCAAGGGTCGAGTTTAAAATGCTGCGGTGCACTCCATATTACTATACGGGTCAGACACTTGGCCGCTGCGCGCCGAGGACATCAAAATACTTTCAGCGTTTGAACACCGATATCTTCGGAGCATTACTCGAATCTGGTGCAAGCAATGGATCAGTATTTATGCCACAATTATATAATCTACCTCCTCCAATGCGCAGTTATCTATCCCACCTCCCCAAATCATAGGTCAACGAAACTGTGACAGCTAGAACAACTGTACGCCAAGTATGCGGTTATTACAGCTGATGATGATGCCTACACATCCAGACAATCATTCAGATAACCTGGATAAAAACTGACACGAGCGCCACTAACATCGAATAACAGCCATACCTTGCAACGTCTCCGATAGCACCCAGTCCTTTCGCAATCTCCTACACTCCCCCACGTCAGGTCAAACAAATACGAGCCGAGCCTTAGTGTTTCGTACACTGACGCCATCTGTCACACTAAGATCAAAATTAATACAACTTCCAAGATACATAAAACGCTCCACAACTTTGATTACCCCTCCAGAAGCAAGACCTCACACTTTGTGGGTGAAAAGTGCATGCCAAAAAACGGTACGCTATTGGTCAGTTCATCCGAAAAACACATGCACCTAATTTTCGAGGACGAGAACTATGTCGAATGCATATTCTAGAGGGACAAGGTTCTCGTGAGCAGCTATTTGAACAGAGATTCGTGCATTGCAAAACTGAGAATGGATAGAGTGAGCACCCGTGACGGACATCATCTTGTATACGGAAACTTTTGGAGAGCTTGCCGTATACTCTCACACGTCCAAAAGTCCGAGGATACGAAAAGCCTATTGTGCTCACAAACTTCCGGGGCAATCCTTGTTGACCAAGCGTGCCAGGAAGAACATATCAGTCAACCGAATCGAATACGCTTTGGAAATCCAGGAATGTGAAAATTCTGGCTCAGTTACACGTGTGGCATTGTTCTAGCACCTGAGGGAGTGTGAAGATTTTGTCAACGTAACTCCTACTAGGCCGGAATCCCGATTGTTGCTCTCGAGTCAGTTTCGAGAGCCACCATAAGGCGAGGGAATAGTTACACCAAACATATACTCCCAGGGTTGTGGGTGGCGAAATATTGTTATCGCTGACATGAAAAGCTATCGAAGAAGTCCCGAGGACTTTAACCTGATGTGAATACAAAAACATCATGACAAAAATAACCTCCCCTAGAGAGATCACTCCGTCGCTGAAGATACTACCTTTGGTCGTTTTGGAAGCGACCATTCCAGTGGAAGACAATTCTGTTCGAAATTATTCAGAACAATGAAACAGTGACAGTCCACTAGTTCTTTGAGACCTCCTTGCCAATACCCATGTACTTGATAGGTGAGACAGCCGCAATGAATCACATCACCAGTATATCCATATCAAAAACGGGTTTTGGCATGAGCTCACGTACGTGCTGGTTATGGTTGTGCACAACCACTAACCCACCGCTACGCACAACTACGCACTGATGATGTCACCTCGATTGGTGATGAAACGTTTGCAACCAAATTGCCCAGGTCAGCGAACAAGCCAACGACCATCTACGCCACCTGAGCTACCGGCATTCTCCTCTATAGAATATATATATATATATATATATATATATATACCCATCATACATTTGAACTATTTTACAGCCATCCCTGTGGAGGGAGTTTTTTACCTCATTTGCACAATCTGTCCCACAAGAGTTAAGACGCCACAACAATGCCACTGTTTAAGGAAAATGGAAGCCGACAGAAAGCGGACAACTATCGAGGAATGTCTTCTTTGTACTGCAAGACTGTGTTCTGTTCACTTATTTCTTCAGTCTCTCAGAAACCCTTTTATTGGGAGGACGGCCTAACGATTGAGCGCCACATGGTCATCCTACGATATGAAACGAAGTAACGCAGGTCAGACATCCGTATGCTGATTCGTACGGATGATTGTACCCTAACTCCACATTCGGAGGCAGAGTAGCAACGAGTAAAGACGACATTTGCGTCAGCAGGATCCCGCTTCGGTATAAATACAAGTGCCTCTAAAAGACTTGTTTTATTACTTACTGAGGTCTTTCAATAGCAGATGCCCCAAACAATGGTAGTAGCATAACATGTGATGAGGATTTCTGCAACATTGCCAACACTGTCTACGAACTCGAAAAACGAAACTAGAATACATGCTACTGCTCTCACCTTGCCGAAGTAAACTCCGCATTCAGATGCCCATATGAACGTGCTTGGAGTAAACGTATACTTGGAGTAACCATTTACTATATGTGGTGGCGTGCGAAGCTGCTGTATTGTAATCATTAATTCATACCGGTGGCACACCAGGGTGTTTGACAAATTACCTGTACCCTCCAGATTCGATGGTCAGATCGAATCGCAGAAAATGATGTTAAAACGAGCGTAGCGCGACATAATTGAGCGCACTTTGATGCCCAACCTTCTGCGCTGGCTAGATCGCAGAAAACAACAAACCTGTAGCCGTATTTCCGGAAGAACTCATCTACAGTCAAGTAGAGCCGAAAATTCGCTACTGTGGCAACTTTCTGGTATGTTTGAGGAACCTTAATCTTGATTTCAACTCTTGAAAGACGCTGACATGTGACAGAAGGGCTTGGCGAGCACATCCAGGTGTTTGTCATCTGGAACAATCATACTATTTTGAGAATAAGTACAGCCATACGGACAAGTGCAGTTGGCGGGCACACATGCATCAACATAGTTGGTCTACATGGATTCACTCTGAACCACTAACGAAGCATCCAGTTGATCAATTTAAGTTTGCCCTATTTCCAATAAACAGATACCGAAAAGTCCGTAAAACTAGTTTCGTCAGATATGCGTGAATCGATATATACACACAGAACTGGTTTGAAGTAGTAGGAAGTAGACTAGAACACAACACTGTTGAGACGGCGCGTTCGTGAAGAAACTCAAAAGATGCATTCACAAAAATACTTGCGTTGTGAACATGGACATACCAAACATCCACTGCCAGATTTACGTGATGTAAGGCCACGAATCGGGGATTCGGTTAACCACTCATCCTTGTTTGTGCCAGAACCGGGCTGCAGCGGTGAACCAGACGCCGTTTCGACAGGCGAAGCACTCCGTGTATGCACCGGGGTTTCATCGTTGTGCACAGGCGGTGATGATAATGCTGGCCTCTCAGACGCCTCAGTTGCGACCGCTTCGGTGTGCGAAAATGCGTCTACATCGCCCACTTGTTCACTCACCTCTGTTGTTTTCCCTTCGTTAATTTCAACGAAGGTCCGCTGTGAAGGGCTTGTACTTGAAGTCTGAAGTTAGAAGGGAGTAAAAAAGTCATCTGCGCAAAATTAGCGGCTTGGGTCGAAGATTGTATTGCCAGTTTCACTGTGTATAGGAGTGAGTCGGATACAGAACAAAAATACCTATTAAATGTTGGTGTGGTGACGGCCGTGAGACAAGAAAAGACGTTTCAAGAGAATAGTACAAAAGCTTGTAGAGGCGTACTAGTGGTGCCAGCTGAATACCAACCACGAGTACCACTTGTCAGGCGTGAAGTTGAAACCTAATTTAGTTCAGACAGCCCGTCAAGGTTAATGAGTAATAAGACTGTGTTCAATTTACAGCTGTGCTAAACCTAGGAACTTGTCTTTCGGTGTTCCGAACGGATAAGTGCAAAAGCTACACGAAGACCATAACTTCGTTCGAAGAATGTGAATGAAGCTGGATGAACTCACAGACGCTGGCACTGCCGATCTTGCTGAAATCTGCCCCGTCGTGTCATCACTTGGCGGTAAGCTGTGTCCATGTGGCTTACAAGGGACCGGATCGACAGAAACTTCGGTACCTAACAGCCAATCGCTAGAAGACGCGGCAGCAGTAAGCGTGGGTGGCTGTGCTAAGGATGTTACAACACCAGGAGAGTTCGGGGAATCATGCGAGCTACCTTCCGTAGGGACGTCTTCTTCGTCTTCGTTCTCCTCTTCGTCAGTTGCGTCCTCTTCGTCTGATGACCTAGATGGCCGTCGTCTGTGCAAATCATAGATGGATGGAGACGGCGGCGGGGAAATCAACGGATCACTCAGGGCCAAACCGCATTCGTCTAGACCAGCGCGGCTTGGAAATCGCGGATCCTCCATATGCATCTTACTGAAAAGGAGAAAAGCAGACACAATAAGGCAGAGGACTAAAGAACTTCGAATGTTAGTAGTAGCAAAGAGGATGGATAATGAGGCAGATCATCTTCATTCATTTACAACCAAAATTTTAATTCCGCGGCGCGGTTAGAAGGCATCATCTTCCTGAAGCATCTGATCAATGTGTATTCCTAACAAACCTCGAAAAACCTCTACATTATAGCGCCTTTGCTCAGTGTCTGTGATACCAGTGTGACAGTGGCAAAAGATAAATAAGAATGACCACCTTAAATATGAAAACTGAAAACTTCGACAATCCACGACCGGTTTTGCCCTTCTGCAGGCTCATCCGGTAGGCGTGATTCCCGAGCGCCCGTCAGCTTTGTCCTACTTAAACCCAAAATGGACACAATCCGCGAAGTATACTTACTCACATGCACACTGACTTCACTTCTAACCGGAGACAAAAATGAATTCCAGTACCGTAGAGCTCTACATGGCCCAATGGTTAAGGGGAAGAGTTATTGACCGTAAGGTCAACAGTTTGAACCCCGTCGCGGCATCCGAATTAATCCTGTCTAGGCTCGGGCAACCTGGCGGTATCTCATCCCTCGTGCTTCTTTCTGGTAGCATGACAACTAGGCACAGAAAGGGAGTTACAGATCAACGACTTAGACCGGGATATCAACACGGTATGGTGATGACGATGATGAGGACGTTGATAGCACGTCTGAACACTAGTTGCTCGAGTGATTATTGGCTACTGGGCGGGCGACAGTCAATCTGCTCACCGAGCTTGCAAACGTTTCGTTATCATATGAGGATACGGTGGCATCTGACTGACGACGTCCCCTCAAATAGTGATAAAAGCGTTTGCAAGCCAATTGCCAAGCTAAGTGAATAGATCAATCTTCAACCGATGAAGAGCCATTACCTGGGGCGCTATCCCTAAGTACCAAGTTGCATATTCCTATCAACCGGAGATGAAAGCCCAGTCTAAAAACCTATTTGATCAGACTAGCCACTCGATTTTACATGGGAAGATACACTGGACCGATCAGAGAAAACAAGTGAAAACATTCCACCAATGATGGAAAAAGGCCGTTTATCCAAAAAGCCCTGTGACGTCCAAATTGTGCGATCACTGAAAGACTTCCGTAGCAGAGTGTACATCATCTTATTTCGCCTACATAAAGGCACCAGAATAGTGCTCCCGAAAATATTGTTTCTTTCATTTATCTGAATAATACAGCAAGAATACGAAGACCTGGGGCTACCGATATTTCACCTTCATTTCTTTAGCCGCAACACTAAAAACCACCAGTTTAACATCGAAACGAGCAAACATAGGAATAAAACAGTGGAACGGAGCCAATCGGTAGGTTAATCACGTCCGGTTGTCGAGTCCAAGGCAAGATGATCGCGTGTCAGGGTCTTTTGTGAACACAAACCGGGCCGATATTGATCAATCAACATGACCTAACCGAAGGCTAGCAATTGTGTTGACATTGCGCAGTAAAATCCTGAAAGCTGTACTGGGGTCAACTCTACGCCCAGTGGATAGGACGCTTGTCAATAGATGACAGGGTTTCGGGTCTCATTTTGCAGGCCGTTGGTCGATAAATTAGTCACCTGACTCAAATAACTAGGCGAATGACCTGAGGTGCGTTCGCATGAGCTCACATCTGTTCTGCCCATGTACGTGCTACTCCAACCGCATCAGAGTTGGTACATAACGTGAGAGGCAGAGAGATTGATAACCGCAAGAGTAGTGAACCGTCTGAGTATGTACGACAGATTACAGCACGTAATTCATGTCGTATGGCTGTGGTTTAACGACTTCTCTTAAACTGCAATCTTACAAAATCCCTTTCTTCGCTGCGTAGTCAGCCTCTCGATTAGGTTGCGGCGTGTTATGGACGCTTACCAATTTCTCCGGGTGGCCGTTAGAAATCAGCGTCCTTTCTAAGAACTCTTCCTGAAGAGCGACAGGAGTACAAACATATTTGACGCGGTTAAACAAAGTGCGCATGTGGCTTCTTTTATGAGCTGAAGGAGTAAAGCCCTAAATGCTGCCCAGTCCATGACAGCCTGCACTTGAAAGTGCCTTCTGGGCGTTTGGCAATAAGACTCTAAAAATGCAAAGCTGTCACGTTTCTACCTCAAAAGAAACGGAAAGGTTTGGATGTAAACTGTTCATGAGGTTGCATAGGTGCTAATTCAATGAGAAACAAAATCTCGTCCACGTATCGTTTACAGACTAGACCGTTCGAGATCTGATCAAAAAGCTGTGTGAAGCTGTCTAAAGCTATCAAGAAAGGTATCTGCTAATAATGGTCAATGCGAGTTATTCGTTTTCATGCCATCCATTTGTTTATACTCTTGGCCTTCAGATTCTAAGCGGACGTTTTCAGCACATGGGAAAATCAACTCTCTCAAATATACCTAGGGAATATATGCAAGAACTTTGTGGACGGTAATAAAATCGCACCAATAAACTACAGTCTAGTGCAAAGGGGCACTGGTAAATAAAAGGTTGACATCCATAGAAAACAACTGACAACTGATCCAGAATTTGCGCAGGTTTGCGGGAATCCTTTGAATAGTGGTGTACGAATCTTACGGATAGGATCCCGGCCGACCGAAATTATTGCTACTTATTTTAATGTAAAGTCGTTTTTTGATAGAGATAAAAGTGAAATGTTGACATCCCGTAACCCTTGTCTTCTTGACGTGTTATTCAAAAGCGATTGGCAGTAAGGTGGTTGACTTGTCTCCAGATAACGCACGGTATGTCAAAACCAAAAAAGATAACACAAATAACCACGCTTTCAAATCGTCCAAAGGATAATTGCCACAGTAGGAAAGCGTGGAACGGCTCGTTGAAACCTAGTGAAGCAACCATCCATCGTATACACGAACCTCCAACAATACACAATGCCAAAGCCCGCTACTCGCAATAGTCGACATGAATAACTCGCCTTAGCATACCGAAGCCACGTGACTACAAAATTTAATTGACCCTCTCCGTTTACAAGTGGCTCAGAGAACACATTCGAGTTCCATCATCACCCATACAACTCAATGGTCTTGAAGTACTAATTTCACGCCGTACTACCAACACTGTTCTTGGTAAATGGTACTGGCTGCCGGAAAAGATAAGGAACTGTGATGGACTCTTGACTCAATCACATCTTAGCTCGAATTTTTATGTTCGAACTCGAAAACAAGGCCCTAAAATCTATCAAAGAACGGTTAACGCCCACAGTGTATTTTATTGGAGAAAAAGGAGTACAATGGCAAAATTAAGATTGACGAAGTTGAAGTGACCAGGATTCCGAATAGTTTAGTCCAAAGTGGGGTGTAAAGAAAAGTTAGATGATCTGACTAGTACACCAAATTCAATAGCTCTGCAGATATCAATGACAAAAGGAATCCCATAAATTTCTGACCTATGAAGCCCGTGGGATCTGTACAAGTGACAAACTAGATGTTAAAATATGGATCACCCGGTGGACTTTGACAGAAAACGGTTACCCAGAAGAGTTCGTGCGGAGGTGTTTGCGCCAACAGCCAGCAGCCAAGGAAAGAAGCACAACGGCCACGAAAGACTACCCACATTCAGCTGCCACTTAAAAGCAACACGGATTTAGAGAAGAGAACTCGGTGTTTGACGGCTTGCTCGAGATGAAAAATCAATACAGCACAACTGAGGACACAATGCAGCAGTGACCGATTGCCCAATACGAATCTCAAGGATAAAATATCAGTGCACGGTTCCTCTATGGTTATATGCTCATTTGACTGCAAACGTTCCACATTCTATATGGGTAGAACAACACGACAATCAGAGAACACTCGTAGAATTCTCGAGAAACTGGAGCAACCAAACATGAAACAAGCGCTGTCGTCAGTGACCTGATCGATACGGACCACCGGATCATTTAGCGTCATGTACCGAGCACCAAGAATTGGTCGAAGGTCAGTCGCCAGTGAATGCTCGAAACAGCCGAAACGATCGCGATCCGGAGAGGTTATCCCTGCATTCGCGAGAAAGATGTGAAATCTTCGCATGGCCTCGGCCCATCAATCAAACTTCTCAACGACTGCGTGTATATTGCCATTGATTTTATAACAAGAGTACCGCAACGCTGTGTGGTACCTCAACCTAGTTTTACATCTTTTCGATGCAATTGTCTGAGGGAACGCGACTGCAAAAGAATTTTCGCAAACTCATGAGCTTCCAAGTTCCCGAATGTGCATTCATTCTTAGTGCTCAGGTGTTCAGCACTCCGTACCGAACAAATCTTGAGCCATCTGGGAACTGCGAATCACAATTACGTACCGTCACTTGGACTGCAGTGCGATCCGAAAAGCTTCCACAGAACTCAGTCACCACTGTTCGCGCATTAGCAGGAGAACACTGTGTAGACCAAATAGATCCAAATTTTCGCAGCGTCCATGTGCAGAAGCATCGGCCATAAGCTAAAACAACCTACCAGCCAGTGAGAGGAACAATGTCATCGTATGATCGTCAAACGACGAACATTCACCATCGGACGTCACTGGAAGAAGTCCCCGTTTGTTTCAGTCGTACTACACCAATCGGTCATATCACACTACTGAGGGGTACTCATCGCTGCTGATGTTGCATGTACGACTGAAGGTAAAATGATCCCTCGTCCTGCTTTTCATCGTTTTTGATTAATTTCATTCAGTAGAACTCAACATAGGACTACGAAATACCGCAATAAAAAATCAACATCATCATCAAGACAGCAACAGCAATGTTGGCACTGATGATTCACTGCCGTACAACCATAAGGATCGTTCTAGTTATATATATATATAGAGAGAGAGTGAAAAGAAGAGAAAAACGGTGGGTGAGGGATTGGACCTAGTGCTGGCCTATTTCAAACATTCTGAGGTGCCTACACCGCCAAACGCTCAATCAAACAATCTGGAAAGAAACTGACAGCACGAATGCCACCGGCATCGATTAGGCGCTATTTC